CTAACAGACAGAGACAGTGTAAAGGAGAGTCAACAACATGCAGAGGCTATATCCCATAGCTGATGGTAGGACATAAGAAGACGACTGACAAAATACAACTTTCATCACAAACGTTTGGTCAGTGAGCACAGCACTCAATGTGGAGCTGATGGCAACACATCTCTCCCCACGCTGGGCACAAGGCAAGGTCCGTGTCAGCAAACACCCATCCAGCACGGACTGATGCCACAGAGCGAGACGGCTCCCCCAGCACCCTGGATTCTGCCACTGAACTGGCGGAAACATTATACCTTATTTCTACTGCACAGATAACTCACAGCAAAAAGTAAGGCGATCTTTTATACATACGATACAAGTTTTCCACATTTTATTCAAATAAACTATTTTGAAAACTGGTTAGGTCAGCCGACCGATGGGATCTATTCCATTCCTGAGGCCCTGTTTGGTTAAACTGATTCTCCAACTCGAAAAAACTACTCCAGGAAAAATTTGCCATTTTGTTTATTCTGCAAAACATTATGTCACAAATATCTAAAATTATTCTGAATTTAAAATAATTCAAAAATCATACCCCAGGACATACCAAGGCACCAGAGATGATGGTCAGGGACTCAAGAGGCTGATGAACTCAGAAGCATCATGTGCTTACCAGAAAAAGTGAGGCTTTACCTCTCTTTAACCATGTTTCAGCTGCATTTCAAATATACATAAAATTTACTTAATTCAAAAATTAGACTAAAAACTTGGACCCAAGTCCAGTCCCACTTCCTGTGGAGTCCTGAGATCATTTGGGAGCTGGACTTAAAGATAAGTGCTTTCAGAGCTAGAAGGAGCTGGAATTCAAATATTTTTGGCAGTAAATTTGTTCAATGGAGATTTGATTCTCCATCCAATGCTGTAATATTTTGTGTATTTGCACATCAGAGAAAGAGCAATATACCTTAGCTTATATCATCTCTAGAAAATAAAATAGAAAGGTACTAATTACACTATGAACTAAATATATATATTTTTTAAATATTTACCATTTTATGTAGCCAGAGGCCACGCTTTTAGCATTGTAATGATCTCAAAAGAAAATGCAAGACTCAGAATTATTTCCACTTCAGGTGGAACTTGATTGAACTAGTAAAGATCAGGTAGTTTTTCACATGAGCAGCTGATCCTACAAAGGCTTACAAACATGATAACCAAGTGCAAGTAATTCTTGGGACTTAACAAGGTCATTCACAGTGCAAAGTCTGCACTAAAGACATTGCTCCTTTTATCTATGCCAGCATAGTAGAAGTGCAAAGCCCTTCTAGTTTGGACAGTTACATCAATACTGAAGTCTCCCAATGGTATCCTACACTGAGACTCAGCAAAACAGAATAAGCTACACAGATACAAAGCACCTTGTATGGCATCAGCAGTAGATGACTGCTACCTGTGTCACAGCTTCATTAGCTTAGCTATGTTGGTAAAAAAAATCTAAAAGAATGTAAATCACCTCAATCATTTAATCACTTTTCCAAAGCATGTGAAAAAAAAACACAACAGAAGATAATGCCCTGAAACAAAGTATTTGCCTGAAGAGTTTCACCCTCAACTCAAAGGGTTTCCTCTTGTTCCAGTTTCTATGATCTTCTAGACCAGCAGCCTCCTACGGCCCAGCCGTGCTCCTCACTGCACTGGGAGCACAGGGAGGTTAAGGTCAGTTCTGAGCCTGGGTGAGTCCTGTGCCTGCCTGTGTGCCCGGCTGCAGGGCCAGCACGGGTGTTCCTGCACCGTTTCTGGAATGGAGACATGTGAGTGACATGACTTCAACCTGCTTAAAAGCCCTTTGCACCGGCAGCACTGGAGATGATAGCAGGCAGCTAAGCATGGTGGGGAACCGGGAGTGAGCACAGCCCTTGGGTGAAAGATTCAGGGAACTGGACGCAGGGAGATGCGCAGTGTTGCTGGTCTTCTCAAGGGAGGATTGGCCACAAAAAGACTGGACTCCACCAGGTAAGCATAGATCTAGGACCTGGCACTGGCAGAGTTCACGGCCGACCTCAGCACAAGGCCGTGGGAAGCAGCTGGGTATCAAAACCCTGGTGCGGCAGCCAGGATGCTTTCCTGCCTGTAATACCTCACCTCTGCACTTCAGACCCATTAGCAGTGGATTTTAATGCCTCTTGGCACGAGCCAGCAGAAGCAAGTGGAGACAAAGGAATTGCTGTGTTCCTTCCCAAGAGAGTAACTTTCCATTTATCGCTGCAGCCCGACGGGGAAGGAGCGCAGCAGTCATGGAAGCTCTGCTGCCCTGGCTGGGAAAGCCACGTGCGGACTTAGATTAAAATTAGATAAAAATAAGTAAGCATGAAAACAGAAATCCCTTATATGTGTATCGGGACAGC